GCAAAGGATATGAACCTGTTGGAGCAAATCCAGAGGAGGGTCACAAAGATGCACATAGGGCTGGAGCACCTCTCTGAAGACAGGCTGAGAGAGCTGGGCTTCTTCAGCCTGGAGAACAGAAGGCTCCAGGGAGACCTTAGAGCATCCTTTTAGTACCTATAGGGGCTGACAATAAGGCTAGACAAGAATTGTTTACATGGGCATGTAGTGACAGGACATGGTAGAATGGCTTGAAGATGACAGAGGGTAGATTTAGATACAAGGAAGAAATTCTTTACTATGAGGATGATGAGATACTGGAATCCTCTCTGGAGGTTGCTCAGAGAAGTTGTGGCTGCCCCATCCCTGGCAGTGTTCAAGGCCAGGTTGGATGGGGCTTTGAGTGACCCAGTCTAGTGGAAGGTGTCCCTACACACAGCAGGGGGGCTGGAACTAGATGATCTTTAAGGTCCCTTCTACAATTCTATGAAATCCCATTTGACTAGACAACTATAGCTATGCACTTCTAATAAAAATCCTGAACTTACACTAATCCTGCACTTTGAAATAAGACCGCTTTACAAAAACATCCCATCACATTTTGAATCAGTCAAAAAGTTAGCGGCCTCTTTGCCCAAGTGCAACACTGAGGATATTTTCAAGTTTTGTGCACTATGTTAACTGAAAACCCATCAAAAAGGTAAACCAAGGAAGTTAACACCAACTTTATAGTAAATGCACATATAAACATTTTCAGGAGTAGCCGTTAAGGGAAACCAAAGCCTTCTCCTCTTTACCAGCACCCAGGCATGCATGAAAGAACTAGAATATTTCTGAAACCAACATCCCTGACCAATAGTCCTCTCCACAGCTTATTTTTTAACATGCAGCTGGTATTCAAATGTAACTGGTAAAGTAATAAGCAAATTCCTACCAATAAAGGAGATGAAGTAACCAAGATTGTATCAGTACTGATTCTCTAAACATTAAGGCAGAATATGCTGCACATCGGAAAAAAACAGCACTCTTGTGTCTCATGTATAAATGAATGCAATCCACGCAGGATGTATTTTTACCCCCTCAATACTTCAACATACTATGACTGCAGAGGCTGCAGCACTAAGGCATTTTGGTATTTTAAAAAGACAACTTGTTTTAACACAGACCCACTGAAAATCAAGGAGTACAAAACATACTGTTTACTGTCACTTACCTAACACATTTGTCTATAGATTTTCCTAAACCGCTGGACACTGAGCTGTCTGAAAATTAAGGCTCTTTCAGATCATTAACTTGAATACCATAGCTTCAACACTACTTCTAACATGGTCAAATATTGTACTAGCTAGGAATCTGTTCTTACTATAAAATGCCAAGCAAATATTGCAGAACCCTATAGGTTCATATTATCTGGTACAGAAAAGTTGCCCCCGTTAAAACTGAAGGAACTAGGCTCTGTTATGCTACTTTTAATGTTGGAAGAGTCTAATAGCATGTACCAGACAGGCATAATAAAGCTTTGGACTTCTGGTTAATGAGCTATTAAAAATCAGATTTTTAAGTATTTGCAGGTACTGGGATAAACAAGTGCATAGTCAGACAGTAACATTAACAAGGCAATAAAGGTATAAAGCAAATTAAGAATTGTACAGCCAGGCTAAAATACAACTACCTGGTAACAGCACACATTTCAGTCAGGGGAAGAGTAAGACACACTACTAATGCGGGGGCAGGGATTGGTTTGTGTTTTGGTGCAGTTTTCAGTGTGTGCGCACACTTTTTAAGGATCTTTATTCTTCAAAACACACCAACAAAGTATTCCATAACCATTTACTTCAACAGTAAGAAGTCTGGTGTCAGAAGCTTCTACATCACAAATCATTAAGTGTATATTCAGGTATGCTTCAGCCTCACATAAACCAGTGCTACTGCTAAAATGAGCAGACCCACACTGCTGCCACTCCTTCCCATGCGTTATGTAAGAATTTCACTGGCCTTGTGAAGAACAAGCCCTCCCTAGACCCCCTTCACAAATGTTATTTCTAACCTGGATCAGTCTCCCAGACACCTGCAGTACAAGGGAGAGGGCAGCACTGCCTTCTTCTGTGGTGGCAGCAATTTGTGTGGGCTTAAAGCATAGATAAAAATACAACCTCAAGAACAAGACAGTGGATTAAATGGACTACAAATACAATCCAGAATGGAAAGTCCTGTTAATCCCCCATTTCTTCATTGAACTCTTACAGCTGTTTAATTGTACAAATAACAAACCTATCAAGTTTTACCTGTATTTCAGAACTAAAAAACCTAAAGAGGCTAATCAAGAAAGTTCTCTTCTATTGTTTTAAAAAAAGAGAAGCAGGGGCAACCAGATCTCAACATAGAAAAAATACAACGTTAACATGCCCTCAAATACTTATCGCTTTATAGCGGCACTTCCCCCATCCCAAAGTTTCCCATCTCCCATTACTACTGAATCTTAGCAGACACATCCAAACTCCTTTGGCCAACAGCAGAGAAGAGGTACGACAGTTATGCTGCCACATGAATTTACTAAGCTTTCTAAAGACGCAACTTGGCAGTTCTTCATTTATGAACTGTCACATTTATTTGCCATTACCTCATAGAGAAAACTGATGTCAAACACAGAAATGAACAATAAAAGAATCATAATTTCACCACATTTGTCTTGTGCCTGAATCCTGTAACAGTCTCCATAATCAGAAGGGGTTGGGCTTTGGGTTTTTTTCCTTCGTTTTTCAAGTAGTCTGATCTGCTACTTTCACTTCCTTATGTCCACACATCCACAATACATACATACAAAAGAAATGCCGTAGCAATCACTAAAAGGATGAAAAGTATTTAAAAATTAGAAAGGAAACAAAACGCACAAGGTAAAACCACGGATCATCACGGTGTAAGTCTTAAGCACATCTACAGAACATCAGTGTTCTTTTTCCATTACTAGACATGGCCACAGTTGATGCAAGAAAAGCCAATGCAGATAAAGGAGGAATTCTGTTCATACATAAAAAACAACACACAACTAGTCTGAACTATATATCCCACTAACACAGGGAACATACCCAAGTTCCACATGTTGAGGGGGAAGGGGGAGGAAATCATAGAATCACAGAATGGTATGGGTTGGAAGGGACCTTCAAGATCACCTAGTTCAAACCCTCTGTCATGGGCAGGGACACTTCCACTAGGCCAGGTTGCTTGAAGTCCCATCCAACCTGGCCTTGAACATTGCCAGGGATGGGGCATCCACAGCTCCTCCAGGCAACCTGTTCAGTGTCTCAACACCCTCATAGTAAAGACCTCCTCATGACCCATCTAAATCTTCCCCCTTCCAATTTAAAGCCATTCCCCTTTGTCTTATCACTACGTGCCCTTGCCAAACGTCAGCTTTATGCACTGGAAGGCTAATCTAAGGTTCTCCTCAAGCCTTCTCTTCCTCAGGCTGAAGAACCCCAACTCTCTCAGTCTGTCCTTCAGAGGAGAGGTGCTCCAGCCCTCTGAGCATCTCTGTGGCCCTTCTCTAGGCTCACCCCAACAGGTCCACATCAAGAAGCATGTGGGATCCCAAAGCTGAACACAGTACCCCTGGAGCAGAGGGGGAAAATAACCTCCCTTGACCTGCTGGTCACACTTCTTTTGATGCAGCCCAGAGCACTGCTGGCTTTTTGAGCTGGAAGTGCACACTGATAGCTCGCGTTAAGCTTCTTATCGACCAACACCCCCAAGACCTTCTCTTCAGGAGTGCTCTAAATCCAGTCAGACTTTAAACAGTACAAATGCAGTTCAAACAAGCACTGTAACCAAAAACCTCTCACACAATTCCCATTTTTCCAAAGAGGTTTTTATTTCATAGACAATACTTCAATACTGGAAGAAAGCAGATGTCATGCCAATGCTTAAGGTTGCACCAGGCTGTTGGCCTGGCATGGCTGCCATTTAGAGCCACACATACCAATACAGGCCTCACTTAAAAAGAAACTAAGAAAACACAGGGTAATGTGATGCAACTTTCATATTCAGTCAGGTGACCCAGTTTGAATGAAAGATAAACTACTCTTCTGCATGTGAAATGGAAGGAGCTAATTCAATTGAATCCAGCATCCAGGA